TCTATTGTGGCTGCCCATCTCACAACAGAGACTCTGGACGGCTAGCAGAATTCAAACTCAGAAACAAATCAATAATAACAAAAAATCCAATAGTTATAACAAGAATACACAGAATATGCACAAAAGGGCCACTTAGGGCAATAGCAAGTACTACAACAACATCCATCTCAATGTCTAGGAAAAAAAAAACAATTCATATAAATATATTAGTTTTGGTGAAGAAATGAATTTTATTCTCAAAAAATACATTGGCAAATGAGATACATTTTTAAAATTTAGTATATCAGATAACCTTCATTTTTATGAAACAATCTTATTTCACTAATTTTGATTTCTACCTACCAAAGGACCTGTGTGTTTTGCGTAAAAATGGAAAAGATTTTTTCTCTTTTTATTTTCTCAGATTTAGAACTGTAGGGGAAATAAACAAATACAGTTCAAATACAAAACCATAAGATCTAAATGAACAAAACAACCAAAATGCACAACCAAACCATGTTAATAGGCAAATCAAGATTAATGTTTTTTTTTTTAATGAGAATCTTAGTTCAATCACATTTTAAAATTTTGTTGAGATGTTATCTAGTTCAAATGTATCAACATGAATATTCATCTCAACTTCTAATTACATTTTATGGGCCTATTGGTTAATGGTTGACTATATGAAGATTGGAAATCACAGTCCTGATTGATCTTGCAGTTGGGGCACTTTGACAGGACACATCAGCAAGTTCTTATCTCTTTCTAAAACTGAGAAGACAAAGATGGAGGGAGGAGAAATGGAAGAGACCTGGGCAGGAGGAAGAAGAGGTGGTGGGGGTGCAGTTTCTTAAAATAGATTTCTGGGTCCTACTGGAGAAAATGTAGAAATTAAATCCTATTAAGCCAGCAAACCATCGAGGAGACTCACTTGGGAATATCTTTTGAATCTTTGGATAAGACAACTGTGTGTGCAAAATGCTGAAGAAACTCCATACCTGAGTACTGAAAAATGTATTTTTCTATCAAAGTTCAAGAAATTAATGATTAATAGAATCCAACTAGTGATTTAAATCAAATCTATCATCCTTCAAACATATTAGGTCTGCATTCCAAAAGATCTATGTGAAACTAACATTGCAGGACATAGTAGAAAAGCAAAACCCAACTTGAATGTTTGTAACTTATCGCCATGCTATGGAGACTTATCAGGAGCAAAGTCTCACTGCTATCAAAAAGCACTGTACAGCTACTCCATTCTTCTCCTTACTGCTGTGTGTGTGTCAGGAGGAGACACAAGTAATAGTTTAAAGTATGGATGCATTACAACTGGAATACATCTGGAACTCTTGTACCTTCCACTTAAGAAGTGGGATGACTGCACAATAAAATACTCATCTAGGAACACCTGAAATCAAGACTCCACAGCTTCATTACGATACCATCTTTTTTGCTTCCCTTCATTGATTTGTTAAGAATTCAAAAGCTTCCGTGCTATTTTATGACATTTTAATTAGCTTCCTGAAGGCACTGCCCTTATACAGATTTTCAGTTTCTAATTTGATGCTGGCATTCATCGCCATCTCATGTTTCAATGTTTTGCTGCTGCTTTGATTTTCAGGAACTTTTTGTATTCCTTTGCGCGTAAGCCACCCTGAACATAGTAACTATGGCTGTCTTAACAAGAAAAGAACAAATGAAGAACAGAACCTTTCTAAACATTTCAACTCTGTCGCGACATCTGCCTTCTGCCAGGGCATCACCCGTTCCCACCCAGAGGTTCGAACACCTCCAACCCTGCTCTCTGAAACACATCTGCCTTCTGCCAGGGCATCACCCGTTCCCACCCAGAGGTTCGAACACCTCCAACCCTGCTCTCTGAAACGGATCTGCCTTCTGCCAGGGCATCACCCGTTCCCACCCAGAGGTTCGAACACCTCCAACCCT